CTGCTGAACACTCCTGCCTCAAGGGTCACCTCTTCTATGAAGCTTTCCTGACACGCTCGCACCCTGCTTCCCCTCGGCACACACCAGGAAAAGACTGGACCCCCGGGCCCTTCAGTGCTGCCCCTAACACGTTACTCTACTTTAATTGTTTCTGTGGTCACTTTGGGACGGGGGTCATGTCTTACTCATTTTCCCTTTTTAAATCCCGGTAAATACCAAGAACTAGACACATTATGGAGGTTTAAGTATTTGTTGGATAAACACATTGCTTATCCTGTCGTAGTTTTCCATGAAAGTATATCTCATTCAGTGGTTGTGCTTTTTCAGCCCCTTTTCCTTGAAAAATGTTTGATTTAACTGTTCCTTTTAGTGCAGCACTGCATTAAAAACATGACCATGAAAAATGATGACTTAATATTGACGTTTTACAAACTTCTCTTGTTTTTGGTCTTGGTACCCTTCAACTAGTCACTGGGAAATAACTGAAATATATCCCAGTAAATGTGTTTTTTGCATCAGAGGACCATCTGATTAAGCAGGACTATGTTTGCATATGATTTTACACAGCCGTGATTTTAACGGTCTCTCTTGTTAAAATAAGAAGGTGGAGGAAGAGGACAAGAAGGCCAGACACACTTCTGCTGAGCTCTCAACAGTGCAGCCTCACTGTGCTGTAGATGTTGCTCTCAGACTCTGCCAGGCCTTTATTTAAAGGAAAGAAAGAAGACGTTTAATGCGAGTGACAAGCTCCCTCGAATTCTCCCTCTCAGTGAGCATCCAAGAACCATGCATACTCAGTGGATTTGATTTTTATTGGCAAATCCCAAGGTTGGCAGCGTGGCAGTTTAAATTTCTTTTTGTGTTTTTGCTTTCTCTCCTCAGTTGTCTCTCATGTGTGAGTCTGACATCACATGCATAAAAATACAGTCAATTTTACTTATTTATATCTTTGCACACACGTCAGTACTCTCTGTGTGATAATTCTTTACCTATGGCATCAGCTGCTGAGGAAAATTGACTTGGAATATCTGATCTTAGTTGATTTCCTCAGCAACAGGCAAAGGGAAGAAAGAAAGAGAGAGAGAGAGTCAGGGATGACACATGAGCTGCCATTTTCATGACCCCTTGAGAACAAAAAAGAGGTAATATTCATTTAGATATATTTCAGCTGTTAGGCATGCTTGTTGCCACTTTAATTTTGTAGAAATTTGGAAATGCTGTCAGTTAATCTCACAGGATTTTAGAGCAGAACCTTTTAAATAGGAATATAAATTGAAACTTCTAAATTTACTGGTAGCTGTTGGAGCTCTGCGTTGCAGAAGTTTGTTGTTAATGTCTTGATGGTCTGTGAACCATCTATCCTCAGCAAAAGCCTAATCAGAAGAGCACTTTCAGTTTTGCGGGTTAGAAAATGTCTGCATCATTGCAACATCTCCACTCCAGATGAAAGGGTGACGGTGCAGCCTGGTTTTTATGCTGTTCCATTGGTCTGCTAGCCTCTGATTTTTGATATTAATTGATTTCTGTTTTTCCTTTAAGATTGAATGCATTGTTTTTGAGATAGAGCTAGCCAGTACCAGGCCAGGCAGTGGCTTCTAACCCCTCAGGCATAGGTTTGGGTACAATAATTTCATGATACTTCATAGGTAATACTGGACATTTTAAACATACTTTTCAACTGATGTGACAGTTGTGTTTTTATTACCAAATGGCAGCATAAACATTCTGTTTTTAGGAAGATGAGCAAATTAAAGCTGCCCAGCTATTTCCTGTTAAATTTAATCTGTAGAAGTATATTTTCCTTAAAACTTGTTGAAGAATGTTTTGGTTCATGAAATACTCTTTTTTTAAATGACTAACTTAGCATTTAAAGTCTTCTCCCAGTGAATGAATAAAATGTTGAGGTTTGTCAAGTATTTAAGTTAAAAATTGAGTTATTCATACTAATTAATTGCACCATTAGTATTCAAATTGTTCTTTCCAAAATGCAGAAATATACCAAAAAGGTTTTTTTCTGATCTTTTAACAGTGGATTTAAATTTTAACTGAAAATATATAATTCTGTAGACCATGTTTCCTCCATGTGTCCTCTGCAGAATGAGTCTTACAAGTAGATTTCTGTTGCAAGTTTCCCTGCTTTGACAGTCTGACCTAGAGTCTCATTAGAGGGCCAGGTTGGACGGGAGTTGTCCAGACAAGGCACTAGACATAAGAGACTGAGTGAGACAAGAAGCTGGGGGGACAAGGATTGTATTTCTGGCAGGACAGCTATAGCCATCTAATACAATGTATATGATGAGCTTGTACGTGTTTACACTTCGAGATTGTCTTTAGATTTGTGACATTTCATAGCATGCTTCATGGTTATATAGCTTAGAGAGAACATTGCTTAACTGCCAACTGCTTTGATGCTTTCCAAGTCTCAGAAATATTAGTAGTAGAAAAGTAGCATGAATCATCTAGTCCAACCTGCTAAATTCTGAATCATACGCTGAAGTAGTGTTTTGCTTATTATAATTGAGAGTACTGTTGTACTCATTTACAGTGCTGTCTTCGATGGTGTTATCCTCACCTTTTTTTTCTTTTGGAAGGTAAGTTTAAAATATCAACGATTAATGTTAAGTAAGTTGAAAAGCTTTTCTAGAGAATCTTTCAAATGCTTATGATGGTTGTTGTGACTCTTAGCTTAAGTTTTGCCTGCATACCATTGGAGATGACTTAATTTTTTCCCTTTTTTTCCCCACAGCCGTGATTGGGTTATTATACCCCTGCATTGACAGGCATCTAGGAGAACCACATAAATTTAAAAGAGAGTGGTCCAGTGTAATGCGGTGTGTAGCCGTCTTTGTTGGTATAAATCATGCCAGCGCTGTATCCTTCCTGCTGTAATGAAATGCGTAATAACAAAGCAGCTTTTGACAAACCAAAGGTTAAACAGTCCCTCGCAACTTCACTGTTGTCAAATTGTGATATGCCCACTTAGTCATAAAAAGAATGCACGCCGCATTGTTGAAGCATCATGGGAGCACCTATGCAATTACAGTGTGGGGTATAGCCTTTCATTTCAATCCCTATTTTTCTATATCACTTAGAACTTTGCACATTTAAAAAATTTACATGGTTTTCTTAAATTAGGTTACTTGATTACCTCCATCTAGTTTTGGTAAGTAGCATTGAAACAGATACATTTTCAAAGGAATTTCTTTTCTCTCTTCACTTAAGATTTGTCAGTAAGGACATCTGGTGGCTTCAGGTGCTGGTTGGTTTTTTGTTCTGTTTTGTTTTTAATTTGAAGAATATATATATATGTATATATATATATTTTTTAAAGACTTATTTATTGGTTTTAAACAACACCAACAAACCACATAAATGTTCTTAAAAGTGGCAGTGGCAGAAATAGCCAACTTAGACTGTGGCCAAAAAGAACTTTTTTTCGTAAGTTACATATTTTTAAAGTTTGATCATTTTGAGGATTTTGATATTTTAATTTAGTGATAAATGAGTATTTTCATAGTGTCCTGGCTAGAAGGATAAGGTAGCCTCTATGTCCTGCCTCTCCTCTGCTTCTACCCCCCAGAAAAAAATGTCCACCCCCAGAACAAAAGTTTTTGCCCTCATAAGGATTTTATACTGTCATCCTCCCTACTTCCTCCCTGCCCCGCTGACCTCCCAACTTCCCTTTGTAGAAGAGGATCTGGGAAATGCTAGTTCAGTCTTCCCTTTTCTGGAAGAGATGGCTTAGAGGATGGAGGTGGCAGGAGCCTTCTCTTTGGGGAAGAGAAGATGTGTGACTCAGGCTGCCCAAGGTTTCCTCCTGTAACTCTGCACTGGGCTCAGGGCTGGCAGTTAGCTGGAGAGAGTGTGGGTCACGGGGCACGGAGATTCCAGCGTCTCTAACAGCATGTATTGAGGTGTTTTGGAGAAGCTGGAGAAGAGGAACCAAGGAAAGAAGCAGGGTCCTAGATTCTGAAAGCACGTCTACCTTTCTGTTCCTAGTCACACTGGCTCTTGGAGATCTGTGAATTTGGAAGTCCCTCAGTGGCTCTTATTATTTTGTTTTTTACCCTTTTGTCTTAAAGAGTTTCCCAACATGTTTAGTTTGGTGAAATCTTTGAGAATTAGGATTTTATAACAAACAAATCTAGTGGTTAGGAGGACTTTAAAAAGGTAGACTCGTAAAATATTATATCTAGAAGAAAACCTAGAAATCCCCTAGTTCCACATTTTCTTTATAAATATAATAAGAGAAATGAAAGCTAGGGAGGTTTCGTACTTTGCTAAGTCATACATACTGCAAGGCTGATCCAGAGCTGAGGCCAGACCCTGGAGATCCTGACTCAAGTCTAGGAACATTCCTTCTCCTACCCAGGAGCCCCACGAGTGTGTAAATTCGTCTCTGTCTGGTGGATTAGACCTTTCTATCCTAGACAGTTCAGGTATTTTTAAGTTGAGTAATTTAGATAACCTTTTCTGGAATTAAAAAGACATATATCTAATTTAAATTCTTTACTTTGGTCATTCTTTTCTTCCTCTCAGTGAAATCCTTAAATATAGTCAGCTATTCTGTTCATCCTTTAAGCAGAATCCAAAATGTTTACAAAATATATAACACAGACTTAATATTAGGTTACTTAGACTTTAGAAAATCACATTGTACTATTTTTAAGATTGATGTTTTACCTGTACCCTAGAAGCCTCCTTATTTTGCTTTGACTCTTAGCAAAGCTAATTTAGTCAGCAAAGATAGAACTCAGTTAATGTCAAATTCCAGTCTTTACAAGAATGTTTATTGCATAGAGAAATCAGAGTGCACAAGTGTTTCTTTGGAATTTGAGGTATAATACTCACTAAAGAACAAAAGCTTTTTCAGAAGGCATGCCATAGACTATAGGTCTCTTGATAAATCAAGCCTAAACAAGGACTGACCAAGAATGGCAGCCTGGATGTTCAGGATACCTGCTGGTTGGGTAGGAGGGGGGAATGGTGGTAAACAGCAGGGTGTTAAAGGAAGTGGAAAATGGTTTTGTATGTATTTTTGGAACTTCCCCTCTCTTCTCTGTAGTTGCAGCATGGCCAGTTTGGCAAGATACATAGTATCCTCTGGGGAGCTGGATATAGAGCCATGATGTGGCCTTTGGGACATAGATAATGCTCTTTTAATGACACTTGAAATTAATTCCTTTAGTGTAATCCTCTAGCAAAGAAATGAGAAAATTGAATTTATAAAGCTTCGTTTTGCCCAGAGATTTTGAAATAGAAAAGGGCTGTACATTTGTGAATAGGTGCTTAAGTAGGTGACGGAAATAAAACATCATTTGAGCAAACTGTCCTATACCAGAAAGTCTCAGGCACCAAAATAGCTTGGCAGGTTGCAAGATAATGTTCACTTCAAGGCTTTATCCTCAACAAATTAAAGCTAGAACAGTTGACATAATAGAAAGGGATAGTGTGTCCTTGGTACTCTTGTTTCTGAACTGCATTATTATAAAATGTGTCTGTCAGTAAATCACATAGAGAATGTGGTACCCTGTTAAATAGCTGTCAACTCTTCTATTTGCAAGTTCCTGTGTGATTCTCAAGTAATTCTAAGCCTGTTTGAGAAGTAATATTTGTTTCCTTTTTGGCAAAAGTGTGTTCCTTTAGCAATACTTGTGTTTCGAGGCTTTTAGTTACATTGTTTTGCAAGGAAAGCATTTCCTAAATAATGGATCTGATCTGATAATCGACAATGTATATACTGTGCCATTTTTTTTGAGAGATTAACACGTCAGTGAGATCTATTAGTGAAGTATCATGCCCTCTGTGCGTCTTCAGTGCATATCAGAAATAGTTTTAATCCTCCCTAGTCTCGTACATTGTATTAAAAACCTGAATGCACTCTAGACTACGCAGTCTATTCCCTTCTCAACATTAACATCTTTTATTTTAGAAAAATGAACAGGTGATATTATTTGGTTACAAATTTTAAGATGACTCTTTAACACTGATCTCAGAAAGTGGATTTTGATAACAACATACAGTTGTCTCTCACACTGGCTGCACTATCCATTGGACTGTGGTGGACTTTTGATAGATCTAGAAGTGGCTTTGGCCTTGGAATAGGAATTGCTTTCTTGGCAACTTTGGTCACTCAACTGCTAGTCTATAATGGTGTTTATCAGTAAGTATTCTTTTTGGTGCTTGTTTCCTAAAATCTCAGAATTGAGATTTTAAAATTGCATTAGCCAGTTTAATCTACAGAGTAACTTATTTCCATTGTAATTATCTTAATAAGTGTCATTTTACTTCCTTTGTGAGTTGTTAAAAATACTTCTATTATTCTAGATATACATCTCCAGATTTTCTCTATGTTCGCTCTTGGTTACCATGTATATTTTTTGCTGGAGGCATAACAATGGGAAACATTGGTCGACAACTGGCAATGGTAAGCTCATGCTCATTTACTTACCTTTCTGTTATTGAGATGTAAGACAAGTTTTCTCCATACAGCAATAGAATAAGTCATTTGGAAGAATTTAATCACAAGTGTATTAAAAAGGGAAAGAACCACTGGATAGAAAAGCTAAAATGTGTTATGGATAGGGTGATGTGATTTATCCTCCAATTTTTATTAATTAATTAATTTATTTTACTAATCTATACGTTCCTACTCCATGAAAAAGGGACAGTTTTAAAAGTGAGAAGAAGCGCTGCTTATAACTATGTTGCTACAATAAATATAAATTAGGACTATCTCCAGCAAATCAAGATGTTTGATCATTTTAGTTAAGAAGGAAAAGGACATTGTTGATAAGCCCAGTCAGAGATGGCAAAGGTCAGATGCCACAGCAGTTTCATGAATAAGTGCTGTCACTTTTACCATTTTAGCCAGCTGAGAGAATTGAGTGGTTTACATTGCTGTCTTTTTGGTAGTCTAGCCACCCAATTATCCTAAATCCATTGGTTTACTTTATTTTGAATTATGGGTAGACATTTTAATAGCTGTCCTTTCAAAATATTGTTTTGACTAGAAGCTTTTGCTAATATAGTAGATTTTTTCCTTTCAATTTTAAAGTTATTTGAAAAAATATTATCTGAATTCACAATATTAGTCCTGTCCTTAAGTTCATGACCTTTCCTTTGCTAATATGCCTTAGTGAGCACACAAAGAAATTTATTTTGCTTGCTTTCATATTCTAGGATTGATCTAAATCATATACTGTTACCATTTGCTTGTAATGTAGAAATATCATTTTTTCCCTGCTTTTGGCTATGCCCCTTTCAGTTCTAGAATGCAAATTTCTTTTTTCCTTTCATAATTGTCATTTAATCCTAATAGTTGTATAACTCTCAGATTCTTTGAGGAATAAAGTGGGCATATGTTAATAAACTATTAAGTGTAGACCTTTTTAGTTTATATGGAAATTGCTATTCAAAATAAACATTAATCTGTTAACCTTTTAATTTTTACAGTATGAATGTAAAGTTATCGCAGAAAAATCTCATCAAGAATGAAGAAGGCAAAAACATATCTTTTGTACAGAAAAACAAGACGAAAAGGGCATGTAAATGATAGCTATACCAACAATACTTCGGACTATAAAATTGCCAGGATGCAGTTTTTCCCTTAATTGGTGTGTGTATACATATATACACATATACACACATACATATGTTACTGCAATCTGTGATTGCTTCATCTGTAAATCAAGTACAAACCTTTATGTATTTGACTTAAATAACTGTAAAATATATATGCACTACATTAAAAAACATGTTGATTAATAGATGAAATTTTTAATTTTTTAGACATACCATATATTGTATCACAATGTTGATGTGCCAAAATATTCAGTTATCGTCATGCAGAGTATAAGAATGCTTTGAACAATTTATAGACTTACTGAAATAAAATATGAGGAAAGCCAAAAAAAAAAAAGCAAATGGAAAGTGGTATATTCTCTTTTGCTTACTGTTGTGCCTTTTTATTTTTCTAATATATAGCAGTATGAGTTATGGGTGCCCTAATGTGTGGTTAGTTTCTATTTTAATGTTGTCTCAGAGAGCTTTGGGTGTTTTAATATATGATGAAAAAGAACTTCCAGGGAACATTTTCATACCTGCATTACTGAAGAGAGTCCAAAGAGTAAGTTTTGTTTTAACAGATTTTACTAGAGGTGAAAGTGATCAGCAGGAGAGTTTATCAGCATCAAATTGTTTTGAGTCTAAATCTGGAAGAATACATATAATTAAAAGTAAAGACCATTGAAAAATTTAACTAGAGTAAATATGTTTTACAAATACAAAATGACCTTCTGGAGTGCCACAAAGTGTTAAGTGATATTAACTGTCAGTTGCAGTACAGTATTCCACTGCTTTTGCACATGGAACACATAAGAATTCCTGAACAGGTAAAATGAAGTTTCTAGTTGTCTTGGGTTCTATAATCTGTTGGGTTCTTTAAAGAGAACCATTTGAGCTGGGCTGCTTCATATGATTGATTGTCAGTGGATTGCATCCAAGGAGTGGATGGGCACATAATTTATGTATCCATGTGCCCATCAATAAACAGTTCAAGAATGTGTTGTTTTAGAATGTATTGGGATGGCATATTGCACATGGTAAAGATCCTGGTAACAGTTTTGTGCATATTTTTCCAACAACTAGAGCCTTTTGAGTACAATTTAAACATAGTCTTAGTTAACCTTTTCCCCCAGTTTTTATTTTTGAAATTGATGACAGTTGTCTGATACACGAGGGTGAAATCTGCTTACTTTGGAGGGGTATGTATGTGTGTGTGTGTAGGACTGAGTGAGGGAGAGAGAGTGTGTGTGTGTGTGTGTGCGTGCATGTGCTCATGCTCTCTTAATATGTCAACTAGATATTTTTCCAGTTTTGATTTTAAAACCATTTCTGTCAGACTGAGATCTTGTATGCCAAACTTTAATCTGCTCTTATGTTTTAAGGCTGAAAGTGTGAAAATCCTAAGAGGATTTCCTATTGAATATACGTACACAATCTTAACTATAGTGGTGGTAAACATACTACTGTAATTTATTATTCTATCTTCCAGATAATGTTATTCATTTAGAACAAATAAGATATTTTTAGAATCAACTTTGTAAGCACTATAATTCTTTAATAAGTTATAAGGTCTATGATGTGTTTACTTTGAAATTTGCTGTTTAAAGCAAGATGTATTAAATATATAATTATCATCTTGGTTAAGAGTCTTTTTTCCATCCTTGTGGTTAATCTTAGAATTATATTACTGAGGATTAATTTATTAAACTTAACATGGGTGGTTGAATTTATTCAGAAATAATGAAGGAAACTAAGTTTAGTGTTACAGGAATTGCATGATTATCACTTTGAGTTCTTAAATTATTTGTATATCACCTAGAAAACAAGAAAAGATATGACAAAAATAAAATTGTTTTGTTATTTTGATAAGTGTATAAATATATTACATCTTTTTTTTTTTTGCAGTGGAAGTGGTAAACATCTTTTAATACTGCTATATTGGCAGTGCTTCCTGGCTTTTATTATTTAAAATTTTAAAAATTGAATAGTTGAAAAATGAAACTTAAATTCTATGAAAGCACAGGGAAATGATTAAAATTAGCTAGCAAGAACCCTGGTAATACTTTTGTTATAATCTTCATTTGTTTGCACTGAACTGTTTTACCTTCAGTAAGGTCTTTGGAACCTCTCAGTGGTGCCTCTACTTCACACATCTGTTTTCTAGGTGGAATCCAGACTTGGTCAATATCATTAAATACTTCTGTAATCTTTCGGCTCACTTACCTGCATAATGACATATATTCTTTGTAATGTAATTCTTCCAGTGATGGTCTGTGAATAGTAGAGTCTTTGCTTTGTGTGTCTGAAAAAGTCTGTTTCATTCTTGAAGAAAAACTTAGCAGGCCATAGAATTCTAGGTTCACAGTTTCCCCCTAATCCCACCACTTTGAAGATTTTTTTAACTTGTTGTCTTCTGTCATCTAATGTTGCAGACAACAAGTCTGCTATTAGTGGAATTTTCTTTCCTTTGTAGATAATCTGTCTTTTCTCTCCAGGAGATTTTTTAAGATTTTCTCTTCATCTTCGAGGTTAGTTTCACTTTTACTTGTTTAGTTTTAAAATTTGTTTTTATTTTTCTTGCGTAGTATTCAGTATGCACTTTCAGTCTGTGGGCTCATGTCTGGAAAATTTTAAAATCTGGCTGCATATTGGAGTCCTGTGGAGTCTTGTAAAAATATGCTGATGCCTAGATCCCACTCCCAGAGACTCTAATATAATTGATCTGAGGTGTGCTCTGAGTTTCATAAGTTCCCCAGGTGATTCTAATGTGAAGCCCAGGTTGACTCTCACAGGTGTAGATACATGTAATATAAGGTGGAGGGTCCAGGTGAGAGACATGTTATGACTTGGAAATGAAGAGTGAAGGACACACTGAGATACATTTTGGATTAAATCATCTGAACTTGGTGACTTGGGTATAAAGGTTGAGGAAGAGGAAATGTGAAAGGTGACTTAATTTTTCTCCCTTGGAAAACTAAGTGGATGGTATTTCTGTAAACCAAAAAAGGAATGCAGAGAAGTAGGTGAATGGAAGTTTGATTTGATATGTTGAGGCTGAGGTATGTAGGAGGCCTCTGGTAAAGATGAGTATAAGCAGTGGGATATTTGAGCCTGTGTTATTGCGTGTAATGAGGGAGTCATCAGCATATGACACTAATGCAGCTGTGGGAGTGGTTGAGGTCACCTAGGGAGCATGGTATAGTGAAAAGGAAGAGATCTGAGGCACACTGGCCTGTTGGCAGAGAAGCTGGTGAAGGAGATAAAGGGGGTATAGTCAGAAGTAGGAGGAAAAGCAAGAGAGTGATGTGGAAGCCAAAATAGGAGGGGGTTTCAGGCAGAGGGTAACTGGTAGAATGAAGTACAGTTGGAGGGAATAATTGACTTAAGAAGTACAGGTGATGATATCTGATTGTTTTATGTTGAAAAATGTTTTTTCTAACCTATTTTATCTTAACATTTAAAGTATATCATTGCATACAAAATATATTTGAGGGCTTCCCTGGTGGCGCAGTGGTTGAGAGTCTGCCTGCCAATGCAGGGGACACGGGTTCGTGCCCCGGTCCGGGACGATCCCACATGCCGCGGAGTGCCTGGGCCCGTGAGCCATGGCCGCTGAGCCTGCGCGTCCGGAGCCTGTGCTCCGCAACGGGAGAGGCCACAGTGGTGAGAGGCCCACGTACCGCCAAAACAAACAAACAAACAAAATATATATATATATATATATATATTTGAGAAAAGCCTGATCATGTACTGTCATTTATTACTAGTAAGGGGAGCTGGGGACAGCTAGAGAACTTTGAAAGAATAGTGGAGATTTGGGCCGTATCTTTGAAGAATGGACCCAGGAACTGACTAGAGGTGAAGAAAGAATTTTCAGAGAGTTTTGAGACCATCCAGGACCCAGGTGAGGCTGGAGATCAGATATTTGCAGTGGAGTCAGTTAACATGGTGGTGCCATGTTTAAATGGGCTCAGTAGCCCAGGGGCTAGGCCATTTGTGATGAAGTAGATTGAGTCCAGTGGGGAGTTTGTTGGTAGACATGGCTCAAGCCTTTGTGGAAAATTAAAGGAGGCTCCTAATGCAAGGTCAAGAGATTTATCGTGGGATCCAGGCAAATTGGAGAAGGAAATTGAATCAGCAGTGCTAACCTGACTGCATGGGAGAACGGTGTGAGGTGAAAGGACAACACGTCTAAGGAGGCCAAAACCCTGTTTGATAGGAAGGGTGATCGGCTTGGGGTTTGTAGTCAGAGAGGGATTTAATGGCTCACTTCCAGATCTCGAGGTCCAGAGTATGATCTGAACACCTGTGTTTCCATGGTTTACAGAAGTGGCTGGAGATCTGAGGCCTGGGTGACCAGCTGTTAGTACCAGTATGGACGGTGCTAGAATGGTCGCAGAGGCTGGGTGGAAAGGAAGATCTCCTCTGTGGGCTCATGACCATTAGGGTGAAACACTTATCTAGATGCCTTGATTGTATTGGAATTCTAATTAGAGTCCCTTCCCCCCTTTAATGTAATTATTTTGAGCTGTTTCATCATCCTAGGTGCTTTAAAAATTCACACGATGTTTAGGAGTGTGTCTTCTACTAGTCCTGTTCAATCAGAGACATCATCTCTTTAATCCTGGGCAATTTTTTTTTCTGTCTTTGCTGTTATTATTCTTTTGTTCACCTTCTCTGTTTTTCTAAAATTCCTCTATTTGGGAGATCTTTGACCTTTTATTCCTGTTTTCTATATATCCCTTAGCTTTTCTCTGTTGTGCTATATTCTAGAAGAACTACCTAACTGGATCTTCCAGCTAAACGAGTTGCTCTTCAGCTGTACCCATTCAGCGTTCATCCCATCAGTTGAACTTTTAATTTCAGTGATGACAATTTTAATTTCCAGGCTCCCTCTCTTTGTGTGTGTGTATGTGTGGCAGTGTGTGGTCAGTCTTGTATTTCCTGAGGATATTAATTAATCTTCTAAAGTTCTAAACTCTTCTAAAGATCCATGGCAGGGAAGGGCAGGATGAGCCTGTGCCAGCCTGTCTCTGGATGTGAGCGCTCCTTGGTCGGCCTTGGGCACACTCCCAGGCCTCTCTGAACTTAGTGCTCACACCGCTTGCATCTGGGGGCAGATACTGTGCTGTCTGTCTCTGCCCGGTCCAAAGCAGCGAGCAGAAGTATGGAGGGGTTGGCTAGATGGCTGCTTCTGCAGGAGTCTGCTCTAACGCATGAGGTCTGTTGCCCTTGGTATTTCTGGCTCCAAGCATTAGCCACCTCTGAGCTTTGAATGTCCCTAGTTTCATTTTTAGCAAATCCTTTCCTTGAATGAACTGTGGTTTCTTTCCACCTATCTGCTCTCAATTGTTTTCTTGCTTTCAGGGCTTCCTTGTAGTGGTAAAGACATGGAGGATACTTCTTATCTGGCAGTATACTTGTAGATTCCTTTACCTTTAAAAAATATTTTGTTGTTGTTAATATGGATTTGGGATAGGAGGGAAAAGCTACAGCTTGACTAGTCTGCCTCCCTGATTCAATCTTCCCCACAAATTTTTATACTGTAAAATCTTGCCATTTGCCTTATCATTTGTCTTTACATTTCAAAAATTCAATTTAGTTGGGAGCTGAGACAAATAGGTTAAGTCAGTGGTTTCCTGCTTGGTCTCAATAAAAATTGGGGTATGGAGATTTTTTTTTGCCTTCGAAATACATTTAGTTCATTGAGATCATTGTGCCAGGAAGTGTAAATATCCTTGTATCTGTTCCTTTATGCCTCCCTTCTTTTTATCACTGATGAAATCTGTGAAACCTGTCATCCTTCTTTGTGATTTACAAGACAGACTTTTCCAGGGTATGTCAACTGTTCTGAAGAAAATGTTGTTAAGGATCAGATTTGGCAGATCAGATAGATAATGATGTGCCTGTGAAAGACTGGGCTATTGATGAGCCTCGTGTCAAAACTGATTGCCATATGTGGGCAATTTTTCCCTTTCACCGTTGCTCTGGCTGAGGTGTCTATAAGGATTTTCATGAGCAAGGGACGATTTTGATTCTAAATCAAAATTCTGTGCTGGCACAACTGTGTTTTATTCTGCTTTGTCATGGCAGGATTTGTAACTGCTAATAGTTCTGTGGCTTCCCCAAAGGTGGGCTTTAAAAGTAATGAGCACTTAGGAAACGTATTTCCATTTAAAATAATCTTTTTTTATTACTGTTCTGAAACTAATAAATTCACTCAGTACTGCTGTGTTTCCACGAGTTTGTTCAGTTCGTGAGATTTTGTCTCTCTTAGAAACATGTTTTGAGTAACTTGTACAGAATGTGATCGTGGACCAATTCATTGTGATGAGCAATTTGAGTAGACAAAAAAAAGAACCCAACTGCTGAATCTGTTTGTTTTAGAAGAAAAGTTTCTAAAATGCATTCCCTGGGAATTTCTGCCATTGAATGAAAGTCATTTCTATTTCCTTTATAGTCATCACATGGCACTCCTAGATCTTCCAGGAATGTCTGCTCAACCAAGTTATGATGATGACAGTTCTGTTTTGAAACAGTTCCTTCTGCCTTCACAAAAGCTTGAAATTTTGCAGCAGGACATTACAGGAGGACAGACTGCTGCCCCATCATCTTAGGATCAGCTGGAGGCAGCTGCTGTGCTTGG